TGGGGTTTTGGTTTGGGTTTTTTTTCAGTAGCTGACTAACTTGTCCTGTTCCTGGCACACATCCTGAAGCAAAAGTGTGCAGTGCTGTTGTCTGTCCGTGTGTGGCTAGAGAGCGTCTGTCAGTCTGCCGACACATGCCCCCAAGAGCATGCGGTGTGCTTTCAGCTCTGAATAATGAATAAACCAATTGGGTTTTTGTCTGACAATGTGAAGGATTGAATGATGTTTTTTGTAAAAGGTGAGATTTGTCTTGAGGTTTTTGTTTTGGGGTTCTTTTGGGTGGGAGGGAGTGTTTCTGGAAGAATTTTTCAACATCTGCCCTTGGTTACATTGGAGAAACAGCAGTGGAATTCCATCACAAATAGTACCACTTTTACAGATGTCAATAGATTGCAAATGTTCTTTTTATTCAAAGTATTGATCAGTTGTTTGCAGTAAATAAGCTCCAAAGCTGCAACAAACTAAAACCCCTAAAAAGTGCGCTTGGTCCTCCTGGCTCCGCGGTTGCGGCGGGGCAGTCACGTCATGAGAACACTGACTCTGGAATGGGGGAAGTGTTGAGGAACTGGGTTTTTGTTGAGGAACTTCCTACTTCGTAACTCGTGTATGAACGAATAGATGAAAAGGGTCAGAGTTACTGGTTCTTTGTTGTTGTTTAATAGTGACATTTAACGTTGTGTGCTCGCGCGGGCTAGAGCTCGCTGAGCTGAGAGAGGAAACCAGCTTAGGAGCGTGTGGTTTCTCGACTTCTGTTTGGATTTGCTTCCTTGCACGGTACAGAGAAGCATTGCTCTGTTCCCTTTCTCAGGCTGGGTAGATGAAAGCAAGTTCTGGAAAAACTGGTCTTCGTGATAAAATGATGGTTTTCAGCATGGCAGCTTTTGTAGGTTTTCATACGGTAACTGAAGATTTCCAAGATGAGATTTGTAATCTTCAGGAACTTGAAAACAATGTTGGTATTTCTTAGGCCACAGAAAAAAACTGGGTTTTCTCCAATTTAAAAATATTTTTGAACTTTTATCATGTGTATTTGCCTGTTATTTAAGGCTTAATTCTGCAACATGCAAAGTACTCTGGGCCTAAGTACAATTACTTATGAGCTTAAAATTAAGCAAGTGCTTAAGCACTATGCTTTTCATATTCAGTTATGGTTTTCAGTCTGCAATATGAAGGTCTTAAATCACCTCATCAAAAAGACATCTGTCTATTTTTAAAAATTGCTTTAAGGCTGTGTTCCTCATATTGAGTAGTAAAAAATATCGTGAAATATTGGAGAAATGTAGAAGCTTTATGATGAATGTTCTAATGTTCTGCTTGGTTGGAAAAAGCTATTAAGGACTTCATTCTCATTCATTTGACAGCCTTAAATGATACAGCAGGTACATGATTATTTAAAAAAAAGAAAATAAAATTAAAGACATTTTTCCTCCCCTCCTAGAAATGAATGTAGACTGGAGAAATTGCCATCACATTCCTTTGAAATCGATCATGAAGATGTGGATAAGGATGAAGTATGTATTCTGGGTTTTGATGGGGTTTTCCCTCTCCTGGGGAGGAGTTATTTATGCTTTAATGTCAAATAAAGAATTATAAGGGAGGCTCGTTATCGCCTATAAAATATTTCATGTTTTAACTAACTCTGAAGTTAGTGGAATAGCTTTGTCTCTATGTCATCATGTGCACAGCAGGCACATTAATAACTTCTTATTTTGAAAGGAATGGATGGATGTTTATTTGTTGTCAAGCAAATATTCACACAGTACGGGTTTTTTTGGTCTTAGAATTCGATAAGCAGGTCCATGCAATATTAATCATGTCTTTTCATACAGGATACAACATCCCACTCATCTTCAAAAGGTGGTGGTGGAGGAGGAGGAGGAGGATTAGCAGCAGGAGTTTACAAGTCCGGATGGCTTTATAAAGGGAATTTCAACAGCACTGTTAACAATAGCATTACTGTTCGGGTAAGGGGACAGTATTAGTCTTCCTTTATTCCATTGGGATTGATCTCACCCCCCCCAGAGGCACACTCGTTTGCCATTGTCATCTAGCTGTCCATATCTCAGGTTTGATCACGTCGCTTTAAATTGTAGTGATGTAATATTGCAGTTGTCCGCAAAATACTGCGATTGAAGGGCAGTTAGGAGTTGCCTATTATTTAAACCCTGAGAATAAAGTTATCGGTGAAGATAATTTGCAGTATAACAACTGTCATTCTTTTCCCCCCACCCCCTCCACTTCAGTCGTTCAAAAAGCGCTACTTCCAGCTGACACAGTTGTCGGATAACTCATATATTATGAATTTTTATAAAGATGAAAAAATATCAAAGGAGCCAAAGGGATGTATTTTCCTGGATTCATGTACAGGAGTCGTACAGGTACGTCTCAGTTTGTCATTGTATTGTTTGGGTGTCAGATATATTTAAAGAGTCAGGTAGAACCACGCACACATTAGTGGAATGATGGTCTCATCAGCAGTTTCATGACGTAACACCGACGTCAGTTTTGCTCTTTAAGTTGGTGCAGGTGCTCAGACTGACAGGTTACAAAACCCGCAGTTGAATTATGGTAGCAGGTCAGGCCTGTGCTCTTTGTGCATGGCACACATGGGGAAAAATATCCTAAAATGCTTATTTTCACTGAAATGATTTTATTAGCCACCAGAATTTACCTCATGCTTACTAAGGACGTGTTTGCTTATTGTGAGTTAAAAATACTGAGATTACAAAGCATTGGCTGTTGGGTAAGTGGTAAATTAATCCTGTATCCTGAGCCTCCTTGAAGATCATCACTTTTGGAGGTGATAGAGAGTCTTACTGGCAGCAGGTAGGACAGAGCCTCATTGTTTATTGTGGCTTGGAAACATAAATAGCCAGAAATGTCTGACACCACCTTTTGTTTCTTTCTTTGTTTGGGTTTTTTTGTTTCCCCCAGGACTGAGTTCTTAGCTTTTTTTTTTTCCTCCCCTCTAATTCTATTAATGTCTTTTTCCCCTTTTTTCCCCCCCTTTTTTTTCCCCCTTTTTTTCCCCTTTTCCCTTTTCCTTCCTTTTTTTCAGTTCTGAACAAGATGTTATCTTGAATAATGCATCACTGTAGTTGGTCTAGCCCCATGTGTCACTAGAAAATTCTTTTTTTTTAGCTATACTTTACTACTTAGCCATTAAAGACTGACAACAGTGCTAGTGCAGACCCCCTCTAATCAGGGTTGCTTTGAAAGAAACCTTTCAGGTAATGCAAGGGAAGACCCCTTATAAACACAAGCTTTTGTTGGTTGGGATTTCTCTCCTTTACCCCTAAAGAGGCCCTTCAGAGCAAGAAAAATCAACAGTCAGTAAGTCACTCTGGGAACAAATATTCGCTGACAGCCTGCTGCAGAATCTCATTCCTGCATCCGGTAAAGTACCCAGCTCTGCAGGAGCTGTTTCCTCTCTGTAGTTTAGAAGGGTATTTCTGTTTTTCAAACAGGTGTAGGACAGGATGGAGATAAATTTGAAGGACAGTGATGTTTGTCTGTGTCAGTCCATTGGCTTGAAAGACCCTAACAGGTATCTTGGAGGTGTGGCAGGAGCCAGAGAGGACATTATTATACAGGAATCCTGTTTAGAAATTACTGCTTGCTCCTGCTGGCTGACAGTGTCTGCTTTCTTTTCAGATGGGTCTCAGCTAGAGCTCTAGTTGTGCCCTAAACATCCCTGTAATGTGCTTTTAGGTACAGATTTAACGTAATGTTGTTATCCCGGAGAGTGCCTGTTCCGCTGTGTTGTTTCTGATGACACTCCTTGAAAGCAGAAATGTCTTGACTGCAAGATTTCTGGACAGAAATGCTCAAGACACCTTTGAAGTCCTCCTGAACTGTGGCACCTGCCTTCTAAATTTACTCGTTCCTGCAAATTGTCCCAAACTGTTTGAACTGTTTCAACTCATATACCCCCAGACGCTAGTTTTCATGATTGTTCTTTGACTGACATTTAGAATGGGATGCACAAATTTATGAGCTGTCTTCAGCAGCATGAGGTGAGAGTCTTAGCCAAGGGGGTAATAGGGCAAGCGTCATCAAGTGTCAACGTCTCTGTCACTTACAAAATGAGCTAAGAATCATAGGGCTGAAAAACAAAACCTGCTTAGAGTTGCCATAAACAGGGAGCATAGAATATGGAGAAAGAGTTGAGGAAAACTGTGATGTGAAAGTTCTGATTTAATGAGCTTTAATACTACTATAAATCATTTAGCTCTCTATGAATGACTTTGAGCTCCTGTTTGATAGAGTCTGAATATCTAAATTGTAGTAAACATCCTGGAGAGGTTTTATCATCTCCAGATTATTTTGTCTTTTCCAGATAAAATACAGAATATTTCCAAAGCAATTTTGTTCTTTTGGAAGAATGACCCTGCAGGCATTAAACTCTAGCCTGATGTTTCAATTATAGCTCGTCCATAGTTTCTTTTTGAATCTTGTATTATTTGCTTCTGGAAGAACTTTTAGACTTCAAACTAAGTGTTGAAGATTACAAGTCAACCTCAAGGTCCACATTCCATATGGAAGGACTTACAGAGAAGCAAACTGAGAAATGGTACTTGGGTTGTGGGTTTGTGGTTTTTTTTTTTTTTCCTGCTAACTTATCAGGCAAGAAATAGTTGGCTTTAGATTTGAAGCAAAGACTTTGCTGTAGATCGCATCTGCTTGCCAGAAGTCTGAAGTGCAGATGGAAAAGTGGATATTGAAGTTTTCCTGACCTAATGTTCTTAAGATTCAGCATGTGAGATGTATTGTTCTATTAGATAATGTCTAATAGTGTGTTACAGTACCTGATATAAAGATCTTGGCCATGTCTGTAAGGGGAAGTACATATTATAGATGACAAATGCATTTATTTTAATGCTCTTTCTACTTTCTGAATATAAATTGAAACACAGCATTTTTCTTTATAGATTGTGCATAAATTGATATACATAATCCACTTACAGAAATATTTTATCTTCAAAAGTTTTGAATGGCCGCTACCTGAGTTTCTTGGCATAGTTTTGTTCAACTTCTAGCTCTCAGTTAAGTACTTGTAATAATCAGTAAAAACAGGTTTCATTGAAATTCTAGTTGTTGTTTAACATGGATTTGAAAGTGTGCAGTGATTGGAAGATTAGAGGGATTTCACTATCAAGAAAAATATTGGACATCCAAGAACCGATTTTTCCAAACCCCAACCCTATTCTTACCCTATGTTGGATAAACTAAAATTTCTATCCTGAAAGAATATTCACCGCAGTGAAGTACTTGAGAGGAAAACTATTTCCTACCAGGAGAATTTCCAGTAGCAGAAGTAAAAAATAACACACACACACAATCCCAAGTCAGGTTGAAAAGCCAAGATTTGACTGGCTGTTGACCTGATTAGCTCCAGAAAAAGTTGTTCAGTCCTAACTGGTTCCTGAGCTGGGTCACGACATGTAGTACAAGGACTGGCACAAGTGATTAACAACAGATTGGGTAGGAATCTTCTAAATCATCTCTGCTGCTGGAAAAAAAATTGTTCATGGAATTTATTCTCAGTGTCTTGGGTTCTCGGTCTCCTCCTCTGCTAATCAGTATCAGATTTTGCCTCTCTTAACATTAAACAAATAACAGCATCTCTGTCATCTCACCATGTGGCTTAGAAGCTATTCTTTGTCACTAGTTGATGTAGCAGTGTACTGAGGTATAGTTACAGTAAGTAGAACAGGGATATTGTCATGCTATTTGAGACTGTTAATGAAGAAAAATAAAACTGAGTTAAATGGCCAGTTGCGGAGTGGATGAATTGTTTTTCCTTTGCTAGTATGACTGCAAGGTTAGATGTGTCAACAAAGTGCTATTAAATTTTTTGGAATATTGAAATCAAAACGGTGGCACTGATGTCCATAGTGATTGCAAAAGTTGGAAGTAATAAGGGGTAGGACTTGTCAGTGGTCTTTCTGATTTAAGCAAGGAGAAGAGACAATCGATGCTACTGCTTCCATAAGACTAAGAGATAAAAGCCTTGCTAATTTGATAAATTTGAGGAACGAAGCTCATTATATTAGATCACATCACTTTGTTTAATTTTATTGAGCTGTTTCAGTAACAAGGAACCTGTTAATTCTTACGACAGAAATTGATGGATTAACCATCTGCTGCAGGTAAAATCTGGTGATACAGAAAGGATCTCAATCTGTTGCCAGTATACTGGGCATTGGTGCTTATTCTGTACTTGAAAAGGATAGCACTGCAGTCACCAAACAGCATTATACCTCACCGTTTGCGTCCTGCAAAGAGTTGTTGAAATCACCTTAGTCATCTTTAAAATCCTTCTAACACAAAGGCAGCAGCGGGAAGTACCCACTGTAATCTTTCGCATGGAGGAATTTGTCCTGTTGCAACCTTCTGGAGAGATTTACTGGTTAATCTCTGTTCTAAGTTTAGACTTGGATTATTCAGATGCTCTTTCAGAAAAATATAAAAAGAATAAAATTACATAGAAATGTTCTTAGCCTAACCACAGTGTTTATAACTTCATTAGATGCTCAGAAATTATCTTTGTGTAGCTTATTAGCAGCATCTGTAAATATCTCAAACCAGAAGATTTTATAAATTGTTCACGATTAGCTCCTTGGACCTCTTCAGGTCCAACCTCAGCAGTCATGGATGGAAGAGTCTTTGACCACGTGCTGACTTTGCTTGCTTGCTAGTTGGAATTTGGTGAACTCGGTCCAGTTCACACTGAGCAAATATCTGTATGACTTAGCACTGTTTAGTATCTTTTTGAGTGTCTGGTGCACTGGTAAGGCATAGGAGACTTGGGCTTTAGAGATGTTCTCTCCAGACAGCTACAACGCCTGTAGTGATGCTGTACTTCACCATCAGAGATCTCCTGTTACTCCACCTGGGAGGTGTTCACTACTCTTGTTTGAAGTGTTATTGCCCATAGTCTTAGATTTATGTGGCTAAATAGAAGATGTGTATTTGGCCGTAGATGATCTCGGAAGCGCAAAGACTCAAAAATAAATTGACATAAATTTGTGTTAATATCACACTGCTTGGATTAAAGCCACTGAATTTTACTTGAACATAATTTTTAAGGAGTGGCCATATATAAGTCCATCTTTTGGCTGCCTTTTTCAGTACCTTTTTATAACTAGTTCTAGTGTTTATTTTCCTTTTCCTTTTGTTCCAACAGAATAACAGGCTTAGGAAACATGCCTTTGAGTTGAAAATGAATGACCTCACATACTTTGTGCTGGCAGCTGAAAATGAGCAGGATATGGATGACTGGATTTTCACTCTCAACAAAATCCTGCAAATAAATCCGGAGGGAACCATGCAGGAGAGGAAAAGTGCAGATCTCACTGATCTGAAACTTGGTAAGAGTGACTAGTCTCTTGCATCGTTTTTATTTTTTAATCGAAAGCCAAAAATTGAACCTTCTGATATGACTATTGAATCATTTTAACCGCCCGAGTCCGTAATGGATTCTGCACCGATTGATGTCTGATGAAGCAGCACCGGTCTATTGGCAATCCCTGAACAATGTCAGCTAACTCCCCACAGATCATGTTCAAAAGGCAGGGGGGTGGGGGTGGGAGGTAAAGCTGCTCCCCACAAGGTCGGCAGGAGCAATGTGTCTCTGCTTTGCATGTGCAGATTTTTTCATATGTAGTCCTCTCGGTCAGTGACCTCGCTTTGCGTTTTACCGTCTTGGGAGTCAGAAGGTTTTACAGTTTTGTTCTGGAGAGAGGTTAGGTCAGTTCTTTTTCCAGAGTTTTGTTTTCTTTAAAAATCTGGAGCTAACAATTAAAAAAAAAAAAATCCCAGCTGTGGTATACTGCTCTCTCCCTGGAAGCTTACTGTCTTTTCCTTTCTTGCTTTTCTGAGTTTGCGTATTAATATGCTTTCACTGTGGAAGAAAGAATTGAATGCTCTGTTACACCGCACTCTTCGTGTGGCAGTAACTCATTCCTCCACATAATAAATCCATGTTCGGTTTGGATGAACCCCAGCTGAAATTTTAAGACTGAAAACACTTGAAACCTTAATACAGATTTGAACTGCTTGTGCGCTGAGCTGAATCAAAGCTTTTGAGTCCACGTGCATCTGAATCTTGGGGAAGTTCAGAGCTAATTGAAGGCTTTAGCCTGGTGTTTATAATAAATTCTGATTTTGGAGGGACAGGATACTCTTCATATAGCCAAAGATGTTTTTATAATTTGGAGGCACAAGAGACTTGCACTTCAGAATCAGAGAAGTACTTTTGAAAATCCCACCCATGAGGGTTACTAATGAAACAGGAAGAAATACGTGCATAACAGAAGTCTCTACTGGTAAAAGCCCTGGTAACAAGCAACAGGAATGTGCTATGGAGTTAACTTGTCAAAAGGCATGATGCTTTCTTGGCGCAAGAGCCCTAAATGGCTGTAATGACTTATTTCACATCGGGTTGAATTACCTAGTGAAAGCAGAACGGTCCCTGGTGAGCTAAGTAAAGCAGGGGGGGTCTGTATAGTGCTGTTCTCTGCTCCCATAAATTTGGAGCTCCTGGAGTCCAGACTACATTCCTCCCCTTCCCAGAGAGCGGATGAGGTCCTGCCTGCCTCACTGAAGACTCCCTTTACTGGGAGTCCAAAATATTTTCATTGACATAAACCCTCAGAAGGAACTGAGAGAGCAAAGGCATCTTTGTTGTGGGCGTGAATATTTGTCCCGGGTGAATGTGTCAGATGTTTCACCACTGAGCAGAGTCAGGACTCTCGTTTGAGAGCTTAAATATAGACCAAGTTACAGGAAGTACCAGTGGGAGATGAGGTTGAGGAAGAGAGGCTTACATTAGTACCTCTTCCACATGTTAGCCTGATAATACTAAAAGGAATAAAAAGAAATAGGTTGGGGATAGATGGTTGTTTGGGTTTTTTGTGGTTGGTTTTTTTTTTTTTTTTAAACCCAATGGTAATAGCAAGTATAATAAAACCATTTGCATATTTTTTCTTCTTTTCAAGACCCTGCAGAAGTTTCAGTGAACTACGATTGCTCTCAAGAAGAGACTGATTCTTCAGAGAATGCCTTGCACCCAGACTTTGCAAAAGTAATGGATGTTATATTCATTTTTACAACCTTACTGAAAACTGCTACCTAGGTGAAAAAGGCCTGCCAATAAATGGGCATTGCTATTGAGAAAGGTTTAAAAATATAGCACAACCCGTTGTGATTGTTAGAGCCATGACAAATGACAGCTATAATTATCTTTCTGAACAGCTGATGGCTTTGTTTAAGTGAGGAAAGCTCCACTGGATGTAATGAAAGTCGGTGCTCCCCAGAGTGGCTTGATTTAGACCTGTGAAATCAGTAAGGGTCTGGTCCCTGCAATTATCTGTAGAATATTTACTCTCTTCAAGTGCATTTCAGAAGACTTTGGCCTGTGGAGAACCAAGATTTCCTGTGTGACTTGCAAGGAAACGAGCTGTGAACTGCTCAATGCCTTCTGTAATCTCGTTGAAAGATGAGTATAGTAGCAGGGGAGGTGTTTTGTCCTCCGGATCTCATAAACTGCTTCATGTGGGTGAGATAATTGTAGCAGGTGCTAAGAAGTTTTGAATGAAAAGCTAGATTGGAAATATTTCACTGCTTTTTCTTAAATGAATGTATGGTCTGTTTGTAATCTTCTGTCAGTGAGCTACTGTGGACACTATCTAGACAGCCAAATGCTATTTGAGGATGTTACTCCCACAGATTTAATACATAAACTGAGTTTAGGTATTAAGGACAACAATCGAATCTGATAATCTCATCTGTGGATAGATAGTTTCTAATAGTTTATTTAATGCAGCTATCTTAAAAAGATCTCAAAGACCACTGGTTACCTTGCAGGGCTAAAATAGGTGGTCTGCAAGTTACGCGATGCTTGTGCGGCCCTTTATATGGTTAATTCCTGTTCCCCACCCTGGCTCCATAGCCTTGGCTGCAGCAATGATCTGTGTCCCTAGCCCACAGCAGACACATCTTCCCAGTCCCATCTACCCAAAGCAGCACACCATGGACACATCAGGACCTGTTCTTGCAAGTCAACCCATGGGGGAGGCATTTTAGGACATGGACATAGAGCTCTTGGTCTCGCTGTCATGCCTCTGGTTGTTACTTCATGTGTGTCAGCAGTGCCATGCTTCTGTAAAAAAACACAACATGTTGAATGGGAACGTACGAGAGCAGAGCCGGTACCATGTCAGCTGAGGTTTGTGCTCACTGGTGGGCAACCAGAGAGTTGTGGACTCCATTAATTGTTCAGAGGTTGAAAAATAAAGGAAAGCTAGGAAAAACAAAGTGCAAATACTAAAGGAGTTAGAATCATAGAATCACAGGATG